TTTAGTCTGAGATGTTGTTCCAAGTATTCCAAGTATTCCAAGTATTCCAAGTATTCCAAGTATTCCAAGTATTCCAAGTATTCCAAGTATTCCAAGTATTCCAAGTATTCCAAGTATTCCAAGTATTCCGGTTCCGAATTCCGAATTCCGGCATTTTATATTTTCCAACCTACCAAAAATATACGGTTCCAATGCAAGAAAATTAAAAGATTATTGCCCATCGAATTTCATTAGGCATCAAATTATACGATTGCGTCTAAAGCTTGCCAATTGTGTCTCAAAATCCAATCCGCGAAGTAAACAAAGTAAAAAAAAAAGCGTCGAACACGTGCTTGCTGCGGGCTTTAAGTGTTGACAGTAAAGGCGGTTAAGGTGGCTGAACACAATTTTTGATACCTTTGTTTCTTTCACCATTTTCTCTAAAACCCTTGATATCTCGGTCACCAAAATTGGCAGCAAGCAAGTTAACAACACAAACTTTGTTTTTACAATAGTTAAGCTGACGTAAATCCCGTTACCATGGCGACATGAATAGATGTAAATAGGCAATTAAAATCGGTTTTGTTTCTTTGTAGAAAATCTAGTCATGAGATTTTCTTTATAATTTGCACGCAGCGAGCATGTAAAGATACTCACAAGTTAACACAATTTTACTAACAATTTAACAGAGAACCGTTTGATGCACGATCCTCGCAGTAGATAGCGCTATTTAAGCAATAGCGAAAATCAGACCTGAAAAAAGTCAGGCCTGTACTGGCCTGAAAATCGCTTAGCAACGGCTGCCGAGGTAAAGAAATTTCTGTTTGTTTTGTAACAATGGCGTCCCGTTTTGCGCGAGATCAGTAATAAAACATTTTGCCCCTTATATTATAAACAAGCAATCACATGGTTCCGCGTAAAATTAAGGATTAATATCACTTGTGTTTTCGGAAGTTGCAGAAATTGCCTGAGTCGCACAGCGACTCAGGCAATTTCAGCAACTTCCAAAAACGTGTGATATTAACCCTTAATTTTACTTGGCCCCATGCGATTACCTATACATATTCTCCATACCATTCTCTAGACATTTCCTGAGATGCTGATAAGGAGAATTTGTTTAACAATCAAGAGCTTCTTTAGTTAGAGATCATGTTCTTTATTTTTGTGACCTTAATGCATGATTCAAGGGTGATATTGAAAGGAGAAATCAGGAGCTGGTCGCTTTTTGGGGTTACACACTTGTGCCATTTCTTTTCTAGAAAAGACCAGCAGGATCCAGTGAGCCAACATACAACATCACTTCCACTTGGGACAAAGGCTGTACAGGGAAAGGAATTATGGTGGCTGTAGTTGATGATGGAGTAGATGGATCACATCCTGAACTGCGTAAAAACTATGTAATTGGTGTTGTCTTATTTTTCTCTCTTTCTTTCCCAATTTTGTTTTAAAAACATTTATAATGGTTATTTCTTGATTGAGAGACAAGCAATGAAACAAATGTACATGAAGTGCTCATACATGTATAACTAACCAGTACAATTGACAGGTAAACATGGGAACACTGTTCAGCTTTGTTTTTTTTTTCTCTTCATTTAACTCTTCATTTTTGACGTAAAGTGAAGGATACATGAAACCAGGTCAATGTGTGCATAACTCTACAAACATGCAGATGTATTCAAAGAATTGACCTCCTTCTCCACTTCTATATATTTATTTATTTATTTATTTATTTGTGTGCTTCTAGTTACATGTTTATGTATCATTCATTTATTTCCTTTAATCTGCTTCATCAGAAATGGACTTTGAGTTATGACTATGTGGCTAACGAACACATGAAATATGGAACACCGGTATCAGGGTAAGTTACATTTACTTTGTTTGTTTGTCCATGATATTAGCTAAAAATTGCTGATGGTCCCTAATTTATAACCCCCCTAGTATGCTATGTCCCCACTAAGATTTGAATACTTTGGGGTCAGAATTAAGAAACCTTTTTTTAACATGGTGCTGTGGTGAAGAAAGAGGTCTCTTGCCAAGAGCCTGTCAAACCGAGTAAATGTTAGAGATTTTATAATGATTTTGGTTATCAATGTTTACAAGTGTGTCTTGCTGTAATGCCTATGAACATGAAAACTTAACTAGAGCTCTGTTTAAATCTTAATTGTTACATATCAGTGAAAATATCCATACTATTATGCTATGTTGTTTGTTAGTTAATTGACACATTATGCATGTGTTGCAAAATGTGTGGAAATTGTTGTTGGTGTTGTGATTCCTAGTTTTTCAGTGATTTATTTGTTTTACTTTCCTACATGTATGCCTCAAGTTCATTGTTGCTATTCCCGTGCAACACAGGTTGATGATGTTTTTTAATAAAGAGCAAATTTTTCATCCACTTGTGCATAATTCCTTACAAAATGGTTTGAACTATCCAATTGAATTGTTGTAATTTGGTTAATTTGTAGCCATGGCAACAAGTGTGCAGGTATCATTGCAGGAGTAGCCAATAATGGTTTATGTG